CATTCATATTGATTTGCTTATCCATCCCACAAATATTTTTTTAGCACCTCTTACATGCAAGGGCAGGATCCAGGGTTTTAGCAATAAATATATATTAAATCAATCATGTCATGATATAAAGTTAGTATGGGGAAGTTCCAGGGGAGGGGACTATCAGAGAGTTTCACTGGCCAGCATCTGGAAAGTAAATGTAGGCAATTCATCACCAAGGCATGGATTGGTTAGAAGGGTAAAGCATTGCACGGAGAAAATCTGCTGACACAGAAAAATAGACACAAAGCCTGGCCTGGGGAACAACAGGTTTGGCAGTGAGGGTTGGGCATTTCATCCAAGAGCAAGGGAATCTTTTTTAGTGAGAAAAACTGAAAGTAAGTGATATATTGAGCTTCTAAAAGTCTAGATCTATTTTTAAAGGAAGAGTCTCTGGAGGGAAGGAATCTGGGATATCTTCAGCAGTCCCAGCTCTTTCCTGGCTTGAGGGGCCCATACCCTTAGCAGAGAAGGGCTTATCTAGCACAAATCAGTGAGAAGGGTGCCTGAGATCTGCCCAGCCCTGACCCATACTCCCCACTTCTAAGACTGTGCCCCAAGTTCATTCCTGGACAAGGCCCATTTCATGTAGATTTGACCTGCAAGACTTTGCTAGTCAAAGTGTGGCCTGCAGACAAGCCACAGCAACATCCCTTGGGAGCTGGTTAAAAATGCAGACTCTCAAGCCCCACCCAAGACCCACCAAACAGCAGCTTCATTTAACAAGATGCTCAGATGATTTATTCACAGTCCTAGGTGGGGCTCTATGATAGGCAAGCTGAATTCTGAGGCCAGGGGCCCTAGGAACAAAGCAGTGAGTCTCTCTGGACCCGTGGGGCCTCCTCCTTAGTGCCACCTGGGACCCCTATGCTAAATATGAAATGGAAGGTAGAAGCTTGAGGTGTGGGAAAAGGAGAAGAGACTATCTGGCCCCAGCACACAGCACCCCAACAGCTGGCCTGTAGTAAATTTCATTCACGCTCTCTTCTACTTCCCTCTTCCATCTCATAGTGATACAGAACTGCTACCATCCCCCTATGTCAACTGTTTCACACTTCTCTGTCCTGACTCCTATTATTCCAGTTCTCTGGGACACTCTTTACCCTCTCTTGAGAACCTCCTTTAAGCCTCAGCTCAGGGGTCGGTTCCTAGCAATCCATTCACTATTCAGGCTTGACTAAGTACGTTTCCTCTGTGACCTATCCTCCACCTTAGCAAGGTGGCTCCGTGCTAAAGTGGGCCCATATCCCCCACCAAGAGCAGAGGCCAGGTCTCACTTTGAAAATGCCAGGATCATCACAGTGGCTGGTGCATGATGGGTATTCACTATAAGGTATTGGATGGAGATGGATGGATGAGTGGATGTAGGGGGCGGGATGGATGGATATTTGTCAAACACAAACAAGAGAAGTGAATTTCCAGTGGATACAGCTGATGTTAATTATCAGATTATTTTTCTGTGTTACTAAATAGAATGATGTTGAGAACAGGGATCATGCTTTATTTCCAAAGTCTGCATTCCGAGGGACATAGCAGATGCCCCATAAATGTAGATTCAACAAATGAATGAGAAAAAATGAATAAAAGACAGCTCAGTATTTAAGAGCTCTGGAACCAGACCACGAGGCTTAGAATCCTTACTCAGCCACTTGCTAAGTTACACAACCTCTGTGCCTGAGGTTCCTCTTCTATAAAATTGTGATCATAGGGGCTGGACATAGTGTGCTTAGTGTGTGTGAGACCCTGGGTCCAATCTCTGCACTCCCCCCAAAAAAGTATGATTATAATAGAATCTAGCCGTAGGGTTATTATGATGCTTAAATACATTAAAGTTGTATAAAAAGTACTTAGGAAAACATTGATGCTGTTCAAAAGAGCTCAGATGGATGGGAATAGTGCTGAGCTCACCTGAAAGTAAGTTAGCTATTACCTAGAGAGGCTGAACAATGAGAAAGCCAAATATACTCACACCCCAAGAGAGATCCAGAGAGTTAACCTGGGTCCAGACCAACACTGTCCATTCCCACCCCCTCAATCCCATGCCTTGTGTCCAACAGTCACTCATTCATACATATTCACTCTTGTTCCTTCTTTTCTAAAGGAAAATGTTTCCTTAATCAAGGAAATTAATGAACTCCGTAGGGAACTGAAGTACACCCGTTCTCAAGTTTATGACCTTGAAGCTGCTCTGAAACTGTCCAAAAAAATCCGAACACAAGAAGATCAAGAGACAGGTAATGTCATCAGTGGCTAGGGAGATGGGCATTGGGATGAAGGGACCAATGGCAACCATAAGCAGGTCTCTCTTTAGCTTCCTCTTGTATTAGGTCACATCCACTATGGCCCTCTGAGAACTTCTCAATGCCACATGCTTGCACTCCAAAAGATATGTGAGGATCATCCTACATTCAAACACTCACATTTCCACATCTCTTATCTGAAATCCCAAGTTAGCTACAATTTGGAATTGAGAATCTTTCAGGCTTTAAAGAGAGCATACTACATGTTATGTAATGTCCTTAAAGGGGTGCAGGGTAGTGCCCTAAAAATTAAATGTTTTAGTATTCTGTAATGATATATGAATATTCACCCTAAGCTTCATGAATTTAAAAAAGCATTCCTTTTTTAAATCTTTCTGCATTTTAGAATTGTGGTCAAGGGATTGTGGATCTGTTCAATTAAAATGAAGACCAAAAGATGAGAAACTATTAAAGGGGGAGAGGAATGATTACAAAAGAAATAATCGATGAGTTAGTTATAACTCCAGGTGCCTCTGAATTACTAATAGCCAAGATAAAAGGGGAAATAAGAAAATATTATTATTTAAATAGTTCTCCTTGTATGGCAAAAGGAAGTTTTTTTCCTGGAGAAACAAGCCTTTGCCTGACACCAAATTCTATGAGAAATTTACCACATGGATCTTTTTGAACGGAATGCTGCATAACAGTGAATGGAAAAACTATAGACATTTCAGGCAATAAAGAAACATTCTTTAGGTATCCACATAAGGACAACGGATACACCCATAGGTATAAGGTTTATCTATGAAAAGTAATCCAGCGTAGTTCAAGTATTTCATTTGTGGTGGTTTGTGTTCAGGAATAAAACTTAGAGACCTGGATAAACTGAAACATCCCATGGCTAAGGATTAGGGAAAATGTCAGTTGTCTCATGTATGGTAGGTATTTACAATATTCACTGGGAGGAAGTAGCTGAAAGGTTTTACTCAAGCAGCATTCATTTGTATCAATTGTG